GACCACATGGTGTTACCACAGATGATTACCGATCTTAAAGACAGTTGTAGGATGAATGTTGGGCTGTGTTCTATCCTCGATCCCACTGTTATTCAGCTTTGAAACACGAGTCTTGGGGTTGCATTGATCTTGTGGAAGCGCAGGTCGTTTAAAATACCTTACTCTCGATCATGAAGGGTTCATTTTGTTTGATTGCTCGATGGCTGGTTGGGTATCCGTTTGTCTCATACAGGGAACTCAAATCATGCCGAGTTCATACTCTTCTACTGCATCAGGTTGGCGATGGAAGCGTGTTAGCAGAGCTGAGATTACGCCACTTGTTAACATTCATGCATTTAATACAAAGGCTGTGGGATAGAATATGATTTAAGCTACATATATTCTCCCCCTTGCATTTATTTTTATGGTAAACAAGGCGTCATTTCTGGTTAGAATTATGCAGAGTTGTGTTTAAAAAATGGACGCGTAAAAACCGCAAGATAATACACATATTGTCTGGTCAGCTGTCATTTGTACGTGCATGCAAACGTCCATCTTGCTATCTGGGTGTGTGAGACAGCAGACCAGCTCTGATACACAGACGAAAAAGGACTCGTCGCTTCCCGGTCAGTTGGGTGCTCGTTTATTTCACTCGTTTTACGTGTGAAATTAACAACGCATTTGCGACGCCATGTGCGACGTCCTGCGTGCTTTTTTTACAACGGGAGACAAAATTGCGCTTCAGCCTCACTGAGAGTACTAACGCTCATCCAATCATAAAGCAGCACCAATGCATGTGGCTGACTGGATAGGTTTATGCATACAGAAAAGTTTTAATCGGTCAATTCTCATGACTGTGCAAACTTCGCTCAGATTGGTTGCTCACTACCTGGATCAAAACGTGCACCGATGAGCACAAAAACGAGAAATTCGACGTTGTACACCACTGAGATTTCCGGACCCGTCAAATGAAGGACGCAACATTGGTTTCAGTAGCTTTGTTCGCTCTGGCCACCCATGCTTTCCAGTAAGTCCGGTTTAAGGAATCGTTTACCATCATCATCAGAATGGATCTATACTATCGTAACAAAGGGCGGTTTCGTGAGAAACGATATATTGCCTATGCGGACCTCTCTGTAAGCGAGGAGGTACGTCCTTGTATTTTTGCGCTACTTAAGTTTTAAGCATCACCTAGTCGCACGTATATCATTTGGCACACCTGCACAGGAATTTTGCGTCGTTCTCGATACAAGTCAGGATACCAGTTGGCTAATATCGTCAAGCGTATCTAATTTTTGGGATGGAAAACGAAAATTCGATATGGCCGCTTCACAGGCGCGCGAACAGTTTGGGGTAACCATTGGCCCAAGACGAGTGAGAGGACAGGGTGTAAAAGATATGTTTCAGGTTTGTTTTTTATTAATTTATTGACCTTGTTTTAAATAGCTTGATGGATATCCAGTTGGTCGGCTGACATTCTCTATGTTTACAGCCTACAATCCGAACGCAAGAATACCTGGTTCAGGTGATGGCTATCTGGGTTTGGGTTACCCAGATATCGAAAGGACAATACCTGATCACAACGTTCTCGACGTGATGATGGCGAATGGAATGATAGACTACAAGAGATTTACTCTATTTTGTGTATGGTACGTAACCCAATTTGCACACCACTCGCTTCATGATAAACATGTGTTTTACCTCATCTTATTGTACCATTCGTAATGCGTAAACCCAGGGCTTTTATTCTTTTTTAGTGCCACCCACCGCAACAATTTGGAGCCTGACGCTCGGATTGTGTTTGGGTCCCATGGTACAATCAACCCACAAGAGTTCCATATGGTGCCCTTAGAGAATGCTCACGGTGGCTGGAGGGTCCACGTAGAGAGGTAAGTAGCTTGTTAGTTCCTAGTATCATTGGTAAAACAACGAAACATTCATCTATCACAAAACCCTCTCTCAACCTCAGCCTCAGGACACCCTTGCGAGGTATTTTCCATAGAAGATTTGTTGCATCGTTGGACAGTACCTCTTGGCTAAACAAGATTGCTGTGGATCGTGCCGGCCTAATTAACACTGCGCTCGGAGCAACACTACATGGGGAATTGTACATCGTCAACTGTGACGGGTTGGCACAGCTGCCAAATCTCATCTTCGGTTTACAAGGAGTAGACTTGACTCTGACGCCTCAACAGTATATTCTAAGAGTAAGTGAAGTCCTTTTGGGAACGTACCAAGTATAGTAATTATATAGCAATCAGGCCGGTCTAGTCCAGGTTTTGAGACAGCATCGTGGCTTGTTTGATTATGCTTCCTCCTTCAATGCGGACCACTCTGAGCTTAAAATCAGTTTAAACTATCCTTGAAAAACTGTCTACGAAAACTCACAGGCGATTCTTGAGAAGGTTTTTGCCTCTTGAAAATTTTTCATCCACTTTTGAGCTTAGATTCCATCTCCTTGGAATTTTTTTTCGCCAGATCGAAGTACTGATTTCACTGATCATTAAGCGCCATAAAATTTTCATGTATATTTGATTCCTCTCTCTAGGAGGAGACACATGCGGGGACACGCTGTTTTAGCTCAATCGTTCCAGATCCAGAAATTCTCACTGGTAGCATAGTACTAGGAGTGAGTTTCATGGAACACTTTATTACTATTTTCGACCAACAAAGTAAAAAAGTGGGATTCAAGCCGAGGGTCTGTTAAATTCGCTTGCAAGTTTCTCACCTTTTTACACCCTCACATGTGAATTTCTGTTTTCTCTTGTGACTATAATGCAAAATATATTCAATTCACTCGGCTTTTTGTCTCACCGAGGGTACTGATGGGTCAATTTTGGCAATCAGCCTTGAGTATGGAATCTACAGTGAAATCTGCTTGTTATTGACCGTCACTCACCATAAATGCACTTCTGTCTAACTGTAGATGGTGCAATTTGTTGAAGAATAAAAACGGTCCGGACTAGTTTTCACCCATCCGATTCTATATGAGAAATTTACGCAAACACTAGAATGCTAGTAATAAGCTTTCTACCTCCGATCTCGTGTGAACATATAGTAGCCAGCATTCTTAATACATATGTCGCCTGAGTGCAACACGAGGTTTGTTGCACGAAATCATCGATAATGTTGACCTAAACTAGCTATCGAAACCGTCGACTTAGGTTATCACGATTGGGTTGAATCAACTTTCACACTTGATGAAATCAACAACACATTCATAGAGGCAGATAATTATGCAATTATGCGATATATTCGCAAAGATTATTTGTGATGATGTAATTTCCGGTCAACCTCCGATGACCTTTGGATCTCACCTGGTCGTCTGGTGGTTTTTTATGGCGGCTTTTAAATATTAGTGAACGGTTGCTTCATCTCTGTGCATTGTCATAAGTTACTGATGTCGGGAATCGTCTATCGCTCGCTGTAGCACACATTTGTGGGTTCCGATGACGAGCTTGTCCAGGGTTGCTTCTTGTCTCGATGTCTTGTGGATATGTGGTTCGATAACTAAAGGCAAGGCGGATTTGGGTGTTGGACGAGTTTACCAGAACTTCCGCATGACATCTCCGAACTACCCCACCATCAGATGCGTATTTATACTGGGATGAGTTGGTCACCTATTTTTTCTGGTTTTGAGGACTTTGCCTGTGGCACAGCGATTGCAGGCCCACTCAAGTACTCGATGTCAGACTGAATAATATTACTGCCTAAACCTTGGTGAAGTGTCACAGCCGGTCTCGAAAATGACTTGACTCAACGAATTACTAGATGCCCGGTGGAAATAAGCGTGCGAGATAGATAGACTTGGAAGAGCAAGGAGATGGAGGGAGTCAAAACTGAGAATGATCGGAGAATACTTCAGTTCATCCGTCCGGGCAGCAGTTAATGAGGGCACAAGCTGCCACTTATCGTGAGTCCACAGCTAACGTACAAGCCCGAATGTAGCATGTTTAGACCCCACGTTATCTCAGGCTTCATACTGCACATGTTCTGTCATTCACAAATACGATCCTGGTCTGCAAGTCCCTACAACTATGGATAGTCTTTGATAACATGCATTTTAGAAAAGCCTTCGGTTGTAAATTTGGCAACCACAGGGTATCTGCTTCATAGTAACCGTATTGAGGTGCTTGTAGCATTTATGTTCCGTTTATAATGGCTGTTCATATTACCAGACTTCCAGCATGTGCGAGGAAGTGTTGCTTTCGGTGAATTCTTAACGATGCAACTTGAAGGCGAACGTTAAGTTGTGCAACGTGGACTTATGAGAAGCTCATGCACTGCGCATGCTAAACCATTGTTTGCCTTGCCAAAATCCGTGTAGCGGAATCATGGAGGTTGTCAAAGATTGACACGTCGGAGGGTATGCAAGATATTATGAAAAGTCTGGGTACTCTTCAGACCACTCGTCCCCCAGACTGTGGACCATGTCATCCTGGATATGTCTTCTCGATTGGAAGGTCGAAGGGTATGCAAGATATTGTGAAAAGTCTGGGTACTCTTCAGACGACTCGTCCCCCAGACTGGACCACGTCATCCTGGATATGTCTTCTCGATTGGAATTCAAATTGTGACTGTTAGTGGACATCAGTGGTGTGCACCTCGTAACCCTATGTTAAGAATGACTTGATGTATATTTGAGGGTGCGTTGACGTTTGTGAGAGGAAATCTCTGACTCCTTCCCCGCCCCGTGAGCCTATGTTTTTCTATTCAAACTAATATTTTCAAAGAAACCGTCGCTTTGCGCCGACGAAGCATATGTTCTGAGAAGTGTTGTCATGCTGTCGATGTTACTCTGGTGAAACCGAGCAATATTGCCTAGTCGAACCAGCGTGGAAAGTGTGAAAGTGTGGGAGACATAAGTTTTACTGTCAAAGAGGATGTCTGATGAAATCCTTCTGAGAAATTAGCACTTTTGAGCTCATACGGTAGCACTAATTATGGTAACTAGAATATGACGTTTGCAAATGGCACTCATAAAATTCACAATGAATCATGTGTGAACAAGCTCCTTAGATGGGTACTAGATTTGATCGTGAGTGATGTGTTGGAGCTCTAGCACTCGCCGTGAGTTGTCTGTACACCGCAAACACTCCAGAATTCATCTAACCATATGAACATATTTCGGCGCAAAACGGGGAGATTTTCGCGCATCTGCTACTGTGTCCGCGATGCGACTGATGTAACTAAGCAGTCTTGTAAGAGGCATCGCTGAATATATCTTCTGAAGTCTTGTAATCCAAGAGGATTGAGCGATAAAATTCACGACCAAATTTGTTGAGCACTGAAGTCAGACGCTAGTCCATCACTCACAAATACAATAAAATATTATGTGTGGGTCCAAAACTGGAAATTTATGGACTGGATGGATACAACTGGTGCAAAAGTTAGCATATTCGACTAGTTTCAAAGGTTTCATATGGTAACGAGCAACTGTAACAACAAGAAGCATGCTCCGTCGACAGACTAATGTGGTAACATCCAGAAAAATCAAGTATTTGTGTCTCAAGCGCATGAGGATTCGTTAACTCGTCAAACTGTATTGAGTTGGCTGCATCGTTGTCCACAGGGAGTGATACAGTCCCACTTACTTCCCGAGTCGTTTTGGCCGTTAAAAGAAAGAACTCATTCGTGCTTACCCACATTCTGGATTATTATAACTCCTGACGGGTTCTTGAAAATTCCTTTGTATCGTCCATAGAGTGCTGAACTATCTAATCAAACGATCTGCTTTCCCAATGACAACCAAAGTAATGATAGCTGAGTGTCACTGTTGCGCTGATAACTAAATATACTAATGAAGTGGGACGTTATTAAAGATGCTTTTAGTGGCGCAAGCTTAAATGTTACATGGCCGAAATTGTTTGTCGTGCAACATTGTAAATAATTGAGCCCACCATATTGGATAACGACAACTATTCAGTGCGCAGATTTTGAAATAATTCACGCCCAATTGTATAGTCGACTTGATGTAATGTATATTGACAAAGACTGCATGAATTAAACATAGTGTGGATACAGCATATGCTCTTCCAGTTTTACGCATTTCTGTGCAATTAAATGACTTAATTTTTGTTTTAGTCAAGAAAAAGAACATAGCGAACTAGTGCAATGCAACAAGTTCAATATGACGAATTTAACGTGAGGCAGTTAGGGAAATGCGCGATCTTGGAAGATGCGGTACCCTAAAAATCAATGGGAGATTTTTTGATAGTGGAACGTTTAGCCCTGCTGTAAGCAATCAGTCAGTCGTAACCGTTTGGCATCCGTTTCCTCATGATAATCGAGATCCTGAAGCAGTAGTTGGTGAAAGTGTGCTCGGGATATTCGCAGCTAATATAACAACATAGTTTCTTTCATGACCATGTTGAAGGCTCCGGTGAACTCCACAAGTTCGTTCTAAAAAGAAAAGGGCGAAATATCAATAACTCACAGAATAAAACAAAAGCCACGTGGATAATCACGACATCAAATAATTGGAATACAACAAACCACATTATATGAATAATAGTAAGATTGAAAAGAGCTGATTAGGTGTAACGCAAACTAATATACGGAGTGCCAAGGAATGACAAAATATGTCATTCCGGGAATCTTCAGCAATGTGCACCGTTGTTGATTTAATGCCATTCAATTCCGCTTCGACTAAATCTACTCCCCTGCGCAAACGATTACTCCAACGAATTCTACCCCACAAAACTCCACTGAACTGCTCATCACTTGAATTAAAAACAAAAAACAAATAAAACCCTGTCAAATTCACTCACCAGTATTCCATAAGACTTCATTCCGTTCCACTCCGCTGCACTACACTGCACTCTACTTCATTCAACTCCAACACACTCGACTCCACTCCACTTCACTTCACTCCACTCCACTCTGCTACAATCCTATCTTATCCATTCCAGTCCACTATAATCCGCTCCGGTCTACTGCAACCCACACCATTCTGCTTGAGTCCCCTCCAGTTTACTGCGCTGCACGTCAGCCACCTTTTCTCATCTCCTCCTCTTCCTATTCGACCTCTTTAGGTTTACTGTCTTGCGGTTGTCCTCATTTAACTTACTTTTGTTTACGTTTTCGAAAAAGTTTGGTGAGAATCGGTAGATTTATTGCTGGGCAACGTTTCGCTTTTGACACAAAAGCTTCGTCAGGTCAAGTGACTAGGTTCCGAGTTTGGTCGAGATTTAAGGCGGAAGGAGAACCAATCAGCTAAGTCCAGCTAAATCTCTGTTGTGTCGGCCGAGGGATTTTAGTGTGTTAGAGTGGTTGAACAAGTGTTGGGTCGGTGGGGAAACCTACATGTGTTTGGGTCCTGCCTAGGGTCTAGTTCTTCTGGTTCGGTTCATTTGATGGT